CAATTCGTATTATCTCATGTATCTCGCAAAGTAGTATAAAAGGGCAGAAGGAACCCTGCAGAAGACCAGTTCATTGCACCCCCAGTTTGCCTAGGCAGTTGCCAAAGCCAGCTTCACTGGTGGTAATGTTCTCAGGTCAGCTTCGCGGAGAATAGCACTTTTTCTGTTTGTAGTTGTTCTATAACAATTGGAGTTTAGCTGTTGGCTCAAAGGCTTGAGTTGTGATTTAAGCTTCAGAACCTTGTGTGACCTGTGAGAAGGCACCCTATGTATCATTGGCTCGTTGTTGGCTTGAGGCTGCGCAGCGAGACGCTTGGGCATAGACTTATCTGTATGGGATTTGCTCTATAGAGTCAAGGTCATTCATTGGTAGACCCTCAGCAATCGTGAGACAGTGCAAACATTCTTTAGTTTAACAGCCAGAGTCTACTACCTGATAGGTGACAGTGGTATCGTGCAGCTAGGAGCTAGGTAGTTCCCTAGGGGCACACACATTGTTGTATCTGTGGCTGGCTAAGGCTGCGCATTGGGACGCTTGAGCATAGACCTATCTGTATGGGATTTGCGCTATAGAGTCAAGGTCATCCATTGGTAGAACCTCAGCAGTTGTACGGCAACGCAAACCAGGTTTCTTGAGGCTAGGAGGCACTTAAGACCCAAACTATACAAAATCTACAAAACCCCCCGTAGAACCTGTTCATCGGGTCCTAGGGAACGTTGCGTGAACAGTTACTTTCGAGAGCGGAAGTGTACTTGAGGACATTCATCGGATTGTTCAATTGGAACTTGGTTACTTGTGATTCTGGGGATTCAGACTTCGTTTGCCTCATACTACGGCACGGACCCACGAACATAAAGGAAGCACTATTAAGAGGGCAGTTGTGTGTGTGTGTTGGTGGTTTTGGTGGTATTTTTACATCCCTAGCTGCTATTGCATGTCAAGCATACTGTTTAGCACACCGTTTCAACAGATGGAGAGTAAAACAAGGGAGCTCTCTGGGTTTGACTGCTCTTGTGAGGAGGTGCTGGAAATGCTTGGGAAATCCAGTGGCGTCCCATCGGAAGAATCATCTCTTGCTGATAAATGTCCAACTCAGCGGTTCTTGAACACAACATTGATCGCCGCCACTGTTGTTTAACTGTTGTCCTCGCCCGAGGAAACCGATGCATAGTGCTGTAGAGTAAATCATGCTGCATGCATTGGAAAAGTTGTCGCTTGCACGAGTATAGTCCAGCAAACCTGGTTACCAGTAGAGGAAAACAAAACAAAATCCCCAGAGAGAATTTGACTCAGACTGCGGTCTGTGTTGAAGACTGAAGTGGCCAGGTCTGATCAATCTGACTAAATGTGGCAAGACTGTCCAACATCCCTTGTTTTGTCCCTTCTTCATGATAAAGTCCATGATCGTGTATTTTTGTGTTTGTATTGCTTCTCTCGAGTTGGCCAAGTGACTGGATCTTGACCAAGAGATTCAACTCGGGCACACTTAGCAATTTTGTTATGTCCACACAAAGCCACTGCACTTAACTTGCCAAGAACTTGAACGATGTAGTGCCCATGCCTTGCAATGGCTATCATGGCTAGTCCTTTAAACTGGCTGCCCGAAGAGCTGAACGAGCTGTATTAATATTTCACAGCCTCCAGGTGGTGACCAATTTGGAGAATTGATCTTCCTATACACCTGACTCGCATATACATACTGCATGATCTGCTACTACTTGAAGCACTAGCCTGAACCAATACACAGCCATTTGGGTGAGCCATGCATGGACTTCCCGCACTCCGCCATGGAATAGACGGAGCTGAATTCGAGACAATTGGACAGAAGAGGGGAGAGGGGAGGTGGGTAATACGCGAATGGCAGAGATGAATGAGTGTTGGAAGACAGGAAAGAGGATCGGTGAGGGTTGAGAGTGGATAATGAGAAGGAGGTACGAGGGGAGGTGGATGCGGAACATGAAAGAAGAGCAATGAAAGAACACAGCGGAAAACACGCACTAGTTGCCTACCTCAGTGGCGGCACGACCCATGCGTCTTACATCTTTTTAAATCCACTCTTACGTGGAGTTCGCGACGGCTCCCTCGATTATGCGGCGATGGCGATGAGAATGCGATGGGAACGTTGGGGAGGATGAGGGTTGCGAGGAAGGTGTAGACAGTGCGCTGTGAGGCTGGTGCTTGTGCTACGCCCTGCACATCGCCTCATGGCCCCTTCAACCGAGCTCAGGACAGGAACGTACGAGGCACCCGTTCACCCAAATCGGGAATCAAAGTTACCAAATCCGGATTCTCATCAAATTTACGCAGCCTACGGTCCTCACCCAACCCTCCATACCGTCTGTACCACTCACCCGGCCAGCCACAACATTTACATTGCCGAAATCCCTTATTCCACGACTCGCACCTCACTTGCGAGTACCATGCCACATGCTACGTCCCACGAGAACAGTATGGTCCAACCAATAGCAGGCATCCTGGGCTCGGTATCCTCTTCCCACACCCAAGAAGTCGACAATGCTTGAACGCAAGAATCACCCGATCCCGTTTATACTCACCCAAAACACTCGAAACACACTCAGATGCGTCTGGACACGTCTTCCGACCAATAACTGACCATTTACTACCCAGGAACTTGCTCCACGGTGGGACGGACCACACGTCTGTACCGATTTGTGTCGCACACCCCGTCCATTCATGCAAATGAACCCCAAAATTCGAACGCAAGCCTCGTCCGTGGCCCCAAATACTGAACGCACGCTACGTACGTTCCTGCGAAAGCACCCTCAAACGTGAAAAGGGATGGAACTGAACGAGTGGGCATCAAGGGGACGGTCGAGAGGCGAAAAGGTATAAAAGGATAGTGGAAAAAGGCATTGTAGTCAGTCAATTCTTGGAGCTTAGTTCTCCCTCACCACCTGTACCCCCACCTGTGCAACTAAGTTTCGCTCACACCGAGTTGACCACATCCTCACTTGCCTCTAGCAGGGCATTTCACTCTCACATCTCCCTTAGCAAGGTCCCAACTCATCGGACCCCAAGTCATATCATCGGGCTTCCCCATTATAGGATCACCAACTTTGCGAGCTCCACGCTTTGTAGAAGTCAGCCTGGGTGAAGCCATATTGGTTTAAACCGCCGTCTGCAACCCAGCATCACGATCAGACGTACCATACGTTCGACTGACCAGCACCAGCTGGCGTCGCTGTCACTTGCTTTATAACTGTCAAACGTTGTATTAAGCCTTCCACCTTCGTTGGGAACATCAGGGAAACACGAGGAAAGGATCGCAGCCTAGGCATCGGATTTCACAGGAAGCAACACGTCGTTCACTCGAGCTTGTAACCTGGGACAGGTAACTATTGCCCCCACATCCATTTACAGCTAACAGCAGGTACCCCCAACATGAACCCACGGAACGTATGCCTCGTGCAATCCCGTGCAACACTCTCACTCAGACCACACACGTTGTGAGCCTCCACTTTGTGTCGACTCTGGCGACCGCCCAAATGCGCAACAAGATAAAGAAGAGATGAAACAAGCAGGACATAAAAACATATAAAGAGGAGACCGAAACCAGCAGGACATAAAACAATACTGCAGACAGATAGCGGAGAGAAACTTCAAACGGACACAAAGGACTTGGATAAAGATACACGGAACTGGACTTGGATAAAGGAACACGGAACTGGACTTGGATAAAAGAAACGCGGAACTCCCGATAATACCACCTCAGGCCACCCTAATATGACCCCTCTAGGGCCAGTTTTGGATACCTGGAAAGACTGGCCCAAAGGGGGTCATTTTTAGGTGGGTGTCCCATACAGCGTGGGATGTCCCACTGTTTCAGGTAAATCAGGGTGGGCTGTCCCACTGTTGTCCAGCATGTTGGGGTGGGACATCCCACCTCCATCCCACCATTTATGGTGGGATACCCCACCCGCCGCAGGCGGGCCTGAAAATTTTTCCTGGGATGGCCCATATACCCATTTTGTTGGCAGGACCCCAAACACTGCCCCATTGAACAAAATGCACTTTTTGCAGCCATACGGGCACCAATTCAGCTTGTGCTTGGTGATTCTGGATGCCCTGTATCAGGGCTCTCAGACTAGGTATAAACCAGCCAGATCAGAGCACCTTTTTTGCGCACTTATTCGTCGCTTTGTACCTGCAAAATGCCCTTTTTGCAGCTATATGGGCACCGTTTCGCCTTGCACTTGCTGATTCTGTATCAGGGCCCTCGTACTAGGTATAAACCGCCCAGATTGGAGCACCTTTTTTGTGCACTTATTCGTAGCTTTGTACCTGCAAAATCTCCTTTTTGCAGCCATACGGGTACAGATTCAGCTTGTGCTTGATTCTGGGAGCCCTGCATCAGGGCTTCTAGTCTACAGACAAACCATGCAGGTCAGAGGATATTTCTTTGCGTTGAATTGTAGCTTTGGACCACCAAAAGGCATTTTTTTGCAGCCATACGGGCACCCATCCACCTTGTGCTTGGTGATTCTGGAAGTCCTGCATTAGGGCTTCTAGTGTACAGATAAACCTGCAGATTGGAGCATATTTCTTTGTGTCAAATTGTAGCTTTGTACCACTAAAAAGAACTTTTTGCAGCCATACAGGCACTGATTCCCCTTGTGCTTGATGGTTACATTTCACTTCAGTTCTATTGTGACCCAGCGAGCTTCTATGCACTTCAAACATATGCTTTTCTCTCAACGTGGGACATCCCACACATTTTTCACTCACCGTGGGACATCCCACACATTTTTTACTCAATGTGGGACATCCCACGCATTTTTTTACTCACCATGGGACATCCCACACTTTTTTTACTCAATGTGGGGCATCCCACATTTTTCTTACCCACCATGGGACATCCCACACATTTCTTACTCAACGTGGGACATCCCACACATTTTTTTACTCGCCATGGGACATCCCAGTAAGCTGTCAGTCGTCGTGAGATTTTTTTAAAAAAAAAACGATGGGGAAACAATTATGTCCACAGGGGGAGTTGAACCTGCATCATCCCGTGTAAACCTAGAGCATTGAAAGGATGTGTTACCACTACACCATGTGGACGACAAGTATACATATTCCGATACATATAAACCATTACTTACCTTGGCATTAAATTTGCTGTCTTATTCAATACCACGTCAAGTCGTACTCCCTCATTTTATTCAAGACTAAGTTTTTTTCAACATGTAAAAATAAGTTATCATTTGTTAACGAATGTATCTCTATAACAGCCTCTATCCCATCTAACAAAAACAACAAAACCTTAAACATACTTGCCTCCTCCCACATGTCGACCCCAGTCCGACCATAGGGCCTATGGTCAGACCCAGCGTATCGCACAGAGGTTTTCAGATAGTGGAGGGCAAGTTAGAGCGCAAAAAAACTAAATTTCCTTCCTCCCACTTTTTTTTTTGGCAGTTGTGTTTGTGTGTTTGTGTCACGGTGTTGACACGCCACATCGTTCCATGGGGCAACATTACCTGTATTGCAAGTCAGTGTGCCAGTTTAATGCATAAACCAGTCACCTACTCTGGTATTACACAATGTCGTTTTCGTTTACCTGTCAAAGATAAGCCCCTGAAGTTAACACAACCAAACAACCGCTACGACCCCAAAAAGGAAATGATTCTCAAAAAAACTCCCGAACTCAAGCACAAAATCCCGTGTATTTATTTATCCCAAGAAAAGTATCTAACAGTGTAAACTACAACTCAAAAAAGCGATGTAAGTAAGAAAGAAAAATGTTATCTAATAACAATTATAAAACGACTCGACGGGAACCTCGGCCGAAGGCCCTTCTTCGCGCGCGCTCTTGATTGCTTTAGCGATATACCGACAAATTTCCTCGCGCCAGACCTCATCTAAAAGGAAGCAATTCAGGACACGAAACGAACGGAACAAACAACAAAACATACGTTTTATGTAAGTCATGAGGCAGTCGACACTCTCGGGGTTTTTGGCGTGCTCGTTCGTAAGCTGGAACACAAACTTGTGGTCGCCCAACGTAGGGGAACCCGCCGCCCGAGTGTGACCCAAAAACCAAGCGCGACGCTCTCGCACTAAAACACGTAGTTAGTCGAAGTCAAATGAACAAGTGAGACAATAAAACATACGATACACGTCGCACTCCACGCGACGGGGATCTTGCATTCCAAAAGGGTTTATAGCAGTGAACGTTGCCACCGCCCGTCCAACCGTCCTCTCCATGAGGACGGGATCCCCTTGAGTCACGACTCTGAGGTTGTCGTACACCAGTAGCTCATTCACCTTCTTCCTGAGATCGTCGAGGATGCGCGGGTGGAGCTTGAAAGGAATTCCGCATGATACCTATCCCCCTTTCGACGGCGAGGGCTATCTCATGATGGGCAGGTACGACGAGGCCTGGAAGGAATACCGCGTAGCGTTCGCGAACCACGAGGCGTCCGAGAACGAGAAGGAGGCCGCATTTATCGCGAAGCAGAAGGCCAAATTTTCGGAGTGGGAGGAGCGCGCGCGCATTTACCGCGAGAAAATCCCAGGAATCCATCGTCACCAGGCCGAGCGAATTTCAGCGTACATCGAACGGCGCAACCGGGTCCTCAGCGACGTCGAGCATCGGCTGAACACCTTGGGGTGCTATATTCTCTTCCGGATCCGGGCTCAATTCGAGGACGAGGACCACGCCTTGGGCGGCCCCCTTTCCGCTTCTCCTTCCCAGCCGCCGTACAAGCCACCCTCTCGGGCTCCTGCTACGCCGCCGCAGCCGTCGTCTTCGCACAACCGAGAGAAGATTTTCGTCGAAGCTCCGCAAATCGCCGTTCTTGACACGGCCGCTGTATCTGACTCCGACGACGAGCCTTTGTCGGCCCCGCGCGACGTGAAGGAGAAGGGCAAGGGCAAGACCATCGTTGTGCCTAGAGCGGCGTCGAAGAAAAAGGCGGCCAAGCGCGCCTCCTCTGAACGCGCCGCGTCCGACCGCGCCGAGTCGGAAGAGGAGGGCGAGAGCGACGGCAGCGAGCCAGACCCCATTACGCGGAGCGTGAAGGTGAAGAAAGGGAGGCGAACGGTCTCGATTGACCTAACGGGTCCGCGCAACAGGTACGCCTCTCACGTCCGAGTCGCGTAGCATCGAAATGTTCAGAAGCAAGTTTAAAAGTCGCCACTACCAGTGGTGAGGAAGCTATTTGCAATATGTTGATTCGTCGGACTATATTGAACCACGCAGTTGAACTATGTTGTCCGCCGTGCTCGCTCTTGCTGCTTGATACTGCCATAATTCGAAGCACTTGAGCCATACTAATCACCGACACTTGCGCGAAGCCAGCCTGGGTCCGACTCGCATGGAATGTTGCGACCCGGCAAACGACCTCGCACCGATTCAACAGTACACGAAGACACTCGCTGAAAATTCCCGGCCGGACCGTTAAGAATTATTTGTGGACCGGGAATATATTCTTCTAGCGCGTCATTGAAAGACAAGAAGACGCCGACTCGCGATAACCGAGGCGTCAGTCACATCTCTTGGACGGCATTGGTGAAAAGGACATGCTTTCAGTAGGGTACGCGCTACGGTACCTTCAGATTTTTAGTTGACGTTCACTAGTGGACTATCAATCAAAAAGGAACTATCCACAATTTATGAATTCAAAGCGTGAAAACAACCTGGAAGCGGGCAAGTCGAGTGGGCTCTCCGATCGAGGGGGATTCACCTCGACCGGTCAATTCGCTAGTGCTCGAGAAAATGATCTAATTACTTTCAAGTCGGCCCTGAACTGAAATGATGAATCCGTTGCCATCTAAAACTTCACCAGCCGCATCATTTCCTCTCTCGCCTCTCCCGCGCGCACCTCCCTGAGGGCCTTCGCTATCTTTGCCACATTTTCCTGCAATCTCGCGCCCTTGGCACCGCGTGCAGCCGCAAACGTCGCCTTGAACTCCTCCGATGCGTCCTGCACAGTACCGGTGATTTTGACACTACTGTGGAGGGATGGCGCAAGTTGTGGGCCAGCACGAATCTGGGCACGTCAAAATTAAATATGGTGATTCAAAAAAAAAGGGGGTACGGAACACTAATTACCTGGAAGAGCTCGATAGCCACCGGATTGGGCCCTGCTGACAACATTGCGGCGTTGATGGGCTGCTCAGCGCCTACGGGCCAGATGATGAGCGGGATATCCTGCGTAAACGACTCGGTCACAGAACTACGAAAGAACGTGAGTGGTACGAAAATGAAACTGGATGACTGGAGATAGAGGTAGGAACTTACTTGAACCCGCCGTGTGTGAGGAACCATCCGACGCCGCCATGCTGCAGGATTGCGAGCTGCTCGACCCAAAATTCGCAAATGAGCCCTTTCCCGCTCGCGTTGACGCGCTGTATGAGGTCTGCAGGGAGGGACGCCATCGCGGACCCAAGTGCGAAGATGAACGGGAATGGCTGCTCGAGTTCGAGTAACGTGGTCACAAGCGCTTCGACGAGCTGCGGCGTGGCGACCGGGAAGAAGAGCGATCTGGCGAGAGTCCGACATGTAAGGAATCTGAGCAGCAATGCCAAAGAATACACGCGCACCCGAAGGATATGTAGAGGACAGATTTCTTGCCGTATTCACTCACAGCGCGGTCCAAGAACGATTTGACACGCTCGTTGGACAGCACAGCCGGGGTAGCATTGGCCCAACAGAGCTCGTGAGCCTGCATCCCGATGGTAAACAGCTCTTTCCCACGCTTCCCGTAAAATTCACGGAGGTACGGCACGCCGACGGGCTCGACACAGGAGCTGGTGGTGGCAATGTATCCGTCGGCGGCCTTGCCGAGCTTCTGGGCGCTCGACAAAAGCGCACCCAAGCCAGTCGGTGGGCCGGCGCCATATACGTGGCGTTCGTAGTCGTACATGTCGGGGCCGCCGGGATACTTAATGACGATTCCGGATGTTTTATCCGTGCCGTTGGAGGCCTCGAAAACCTGTGAGCGTGAAGTTGGAATAAATTAATAGCAAACAATCTTGGACTCGGATGAAACCCAACATTTTGGACAATGTCCTCCAGAGAGCGACCGTCGCGCTTCGACTCGTCCGCGTAGAGCTCCTCAGCTATCGCAGTAAAATCGTGGTCGCTGACATGCGCGGGCAAGGAAATAACGGCGGAGGACCACCAGACAAGGGTCTTGCAGTCGGGACCAAAAATTGCCTTGGTGGGTTCGATTACAAATCCTCCACAGCCGAAATCGAGCTGGGAGAAAGCATCGGGATCGGGAACTGAGATAAAATAGAATGCGTACATGAATGGCCTGTGGTTTGGGCCATCCCTCACTTCCGTGAGCCAATTGAGGAATGGTCTCCATCCAGCCGCCACAGAGCTGTCCAAGCGCCTCCTTGACCATGCCCGGTCCGTCCAGGCTGCAAAATCAAGGAGCAATCAATTCGCGAAAAACATAGGAAGGACTGAGGACGAACTTGAACTCCTTGGGGCCCAACCCAATGATTCGAAGTCGCGCTTTGTCGTAGGAGCACCTTGCTAGCGCCGCCTCCATTTTCGGGACTGATCATCACAATTCGGATGTTGTCTGGTATTCTTGGGAAGATACGCACCAATAAGATTGTGCTGCACAATCGTAATAACGAGTGTAGGATCCACAGCGAGCATCTGGTCCACAGCATTGATGTAGCTGATTGTGTGTCCCCACGCGGGTGGGAGCATTGCGGCGGTGTGGTGGGTAGCCATGTTGAACAGGAACGGATGGAGAGTGAAACAAACGACCTCTCTGGGACCCTGGGGGTTTGACTGCTCTTGTAAGTAGGTCAAAAGTAGGTGCTGGAAATGCTTGGGAAATCCAGGGCTGCCCCATCGGAAGAATCTGATTGGAGAAATGGCCAACATTAACGCAACATCGGCAACACCAACATTGATCGGTACACTGTTGTTCTCGTTCGAGAAAACTGATGCGCAGCGCTGCAGCTGAGTAATGCGTCCATCGGAAAGGTTGTGGCTTGAATTTCAGAATGAGTATAGTTGCCCGGGAAACCAGGCCATCACCACTCACCAGTGGAGGAGAAAAGGAAGGACTAACAAAATCCGCGGAGAGAACCCGAAAACTTGAAGGGCTGAAGCGAGCCCACCGAAAATAGAATAAGCGGAATAAAAGGTACATCAGTGTCTGGACTCGGAGGATGACTCGGATTGGACTCGGAATCCAATCCGACTAAATGCGGCAACGTCTGAACATCCCTGTCCGTAATCGTGTATTTGTAATTTTGTATTGCTTCTCAGATTGTCGACCCTGAGTGACTGGATCTCGACCAAGGGATTTAATTTGGTCGCGCGCTCATCAATTTTGTCATGTCCGCACAAAGCCGGTCTCGCATTACCAAGAACTTGAATGACGTGCCTTTAATTAGGCCTTTGGACTTGCTGCTCAAACATCTGAACGAACTGCATTCATACTTCACAGCGTCCGGATGGTGGCCAATTCGGAGAATTGGTCGTGTGAGTACATTGAATGTTTATTTCAAGGAGTAGCCTACCAACACTGGCTTCCTATGTACCCGACTCGCAGAGATGAATGAGTGTTGAAATTGAAAGACAGGGAGGATCGGTGAGGATTGGAATGCCCGGCTGTGGGGACCCGCCCCGCCCGCCTTGGCCTGGCAGGGGCGAGAACGGCGGCGAGGTCGTGTTGGTGCTGCCTGTTGCGCTATTCACTGCTGATGTTGAGCCTGGGGTCCGTCCGGAGGGCCGCGAGCTCGAGCTGGAAGACATGGAGAGAAGAGGGAAGAGCAGAGACGTCCACAACGTGGGTGAGATATCAGTGTCGCTGAAGGAAAAATAGTCGGGCCCGAGAGAATGTTGGCGGCGATGGGGACTAGAGCGTCGGCGTCGTGAGCAGTGGCGATGACGAAACAAAGACTTGTCAGCGAGAATAAACGATGTTGTGTCATCACTCGCGGCGCTGTTCGGCAACTCCCTTTTCCGGTCTTGTTGTCTCAACCCCGTTTCTGAATAAGCACCGAGACTGCTGCGCAGACGACTCCGGTGTCTGTTTCTTGCCAGCTCCCAACGATCAAGCTCCCGACCACAATCAGTTGTAATTCAACCGATCGGCCCGCGGAGGCTTTTTTTCCACCCCTGATTCGCGTTCTTTTGGCTTCAAAATGTCTCGCATTCAGCCAACCTGGAAATGGGGTACGCAAAGCAGTATGGTGTAATGATGCACGCGGGATTTTCTTGTGTGTCAAGCTGAAGTGTAATCCCGGAGGTCGTGGTTCGAATCAAGGTGCTGCTCTCCATCTCTGTAACATGTACATTTTTTTTGGGCACAAAATTTGTCTGAATCCCTGGCACTCCACCCACCTCAAAAAGGGGCAAAGAAAGCAGTATGGTGTAATGCCGCACACGGGGATTCCTTGAGAAGGCGTGACATAATGGCTCAGCGCTCAGCCCCGAGGTCCTTGTTCGAATCAAGGCACTGCTCTGCTGCATTGCCATTTCCACAGCATTTCTTTTGGCAAAATTCCTATGAATCTCCAGCACTCCACCCACCTCGAGACTGGGTAGAAAAGGCAGTATGGTGTAATGATGCACATGGGAATTTCATGGCTGGAAACTCTATGGGAATGTATTGCCGAGGTCCTTGTTCGAATCAAGGTACTGCTCTTCAGGTGGTTTCGAAGCTTCTTTTTGATGAAAATCTTGTCCGAATCACTTACGCCAGATAGCGAAAGTAGTTTTTTGTATGTTCACATGGAGGCCTATAAATCTGAGAAATTCTTGAAAAATCCTCCTCATGTGTAGAGTCTCAAAATATTTTTTAAAGCGGTATCTATCCAACAAGCAAGGTACGAGCTTCATTTTGTTGGAGTGTCTGTCTACGAGAGACTACTTAATCGTGAGGTGAGTTTTTAGTAGACTTTTTTTGACTGCTCGGCAAGATAGTTTGAATCTCGGGCCAATGATACATTATGTCAAAATGTGTGAAAATTTGGAAGATATTCGCACAATGCTCCCTCTCTTCCTGCAGCCTCTGCATCCCATCCTTCGGCCTGTTCTCAAGTTGCTGTGGTCTGCTAGTATTATTTGCACTCTGATCATTAATGAGCAGATTTTAATGAGGAAAGCTCATTGGGAAAGCTTGAGCAACGCGCTCACCGTCACGAATTCAGCTCATTCAGCCTCACTGAGTCTCGATCTCGACCTGACCTTTTTTCCCCTTGGTTCTTAGATTTGTGGTTTGCTGCCAAAATTTGGCGTTGGAGGGGATCTACGGATATGGAGCAACTGCTGGCAGATTTGTTGGAAACAACACATCGTCGCGTCGAGGATTAGATAGGTTGCGCATGAGCCGCATGCGGCTTTTGTGCATTGTGCAAAGCCGCATGGCAAATTTGAAATCTGAGAGGTGTCAATTAAGTATTGTGATATAGTCTGCTGCGTGGCAGACGTGAAAGTATCGAAAAGGTGAGCGATGCCTCTGTGATGCCTGAAAAATGTGGCCTCCTACGGGTGCACATCCAAAACATAACAATCACGGGAGTGGAATATGAGATTTAGGAGGTATTGAATGGTACCTCAAAAGACAAGAACCAAGAACAGGGAAGAAAAAGCTGCGGCATTGTACAATGCACAAAAGCCGCATGCAGCCTGTGCGGCTTTTGCGCAGCCTATCTATTAAGGCCTTAGCTTAATATGGGTTAAGCCGTTATTAAGACTAAGCCCTTAAGATCTTAACTACAACACTGGGCATTCTCACCAATGCTCCCTTCTCAGGAAGCGGGTGAGGTGTATGGTACATGGTTGGCTTTGATATTAAGGACGAAAACCATCCTGCGTTTGACTCCCGCTGCCCACATGATCAGACTGAACTGTTGCTTTGTCCTTGCTTGATCTTCTTTCTGGTTATTCTAATTTGTTCTGGGAAGTCACCCGCAGGCGGCAGGGACGGTCGAGAACAGATCCAGATTCTGGTATACATGTGCAAGGGCACTGCTGTGGAATGAGTAACACGAAGCGATATTCAAGTTATCGTGAGAAGCGACCTAGAACGGGGGATAACGAGTACAGTGACCTCATGACCAGATTAACTTAACAACAGTCATATAATTACGACGTAGATGAGATTATCTATATAATAATCGAACTTGGTTTGTCTTTGACCACACAAATTGGACCAAGGTTCCGAGCCTCCACATGCCGTCAACTGCTCCACAAAAGCGTCGGAATGCTGAGTCTTCCGGCCCATTTATAGCTGTTGAGATGTTCACGTGTGTATGTAGCCCATGGTTGAACCTGGTTCGACTTAGGTTCAACACATCTCGAGACTCAATGTTACTAGAATGTTAGGGTTCGGTTCTATACAGAATAGTACACCCGGGGTCACCCAGTTCCGATTACCTACGACACTTCTTGATACAAATACTGTACAATTTATTTACCACACTTGACCTTTTTTCTTACCCATATGTCTACATGCAGTACTTTGACAATACACATTGTTTGAAGTCAGTGCGTTGTGAGCCATCACTTTGTGATCGCTCTGGAACGGCACATACGAAGCGGAAACAGCATCACCAAATAGAGACAGAGCACATCTCCGATCCGACGCCTTACACGCTGGCAACTTCACAATCCCGATACACACATTTCTAAAACTCTCTGAACGCAGCAGGCTGACTAAGGAAAAGACAAAGATAAGATCGGAGTCGCGCTATAAAACTAGTAATGCACCTTCTGCGCCGACTCTACGAACGCAGCAGGGTGACTAAGGAAAAGACAAAGAACAAGATCGGAGTCGCGCTATAAAACTAGTAATGCACCTTGCACGCCGAGTCGCGACTCAGTAATGCCAAAACACCGACTTTGCGCCCCGACTTGCGCAACGAACGCGTGCCCCACCGACATCGCGCCAACCGAGAACGCCGCAGCCCCACCGACAACACACCGACCAAGAACGCACGCGACTTCGTGCCCCGACTTGCGCAACGAACACTGTGAGCCATCACTTTGTGATCGCTCTGGAACGGCACATATGAAGCGGAAACGGCATCACCAAATAGAGACAGAACACATCGCCGCTCCGAAGTCTCACAATCCCAATACACACATCTCTGAAGCGCAGGCCGATACGAAAAGACAAAAGAACAAGATCTCGCGCTATAAAAATAATAATGCACCCTCCACACCCACTTGGCAAAACACCAACTTGCGACTTCAACAACGTGCGACCCACTAAACCAAGAACGTGCACCGCGCTTGCCGACTTTGCGCGTGTGCTCGCTGACTTTGGTATACACCCCGCGACCAAGAGACTGCGTCCGCCGACTTTGCATGTGACATCGCGCCCCTGCCGACTTGCGTGCCCCTGCTGACTTGCACGCGCCCGCGTTCGCACACCCGCTGACTTGTGTGCGCCCGCGTTCGTGCCCCACCAACGTTGCCATCGCGCCCGCCTCGTGCTCCCCCTTGCGCTCGCGCTCAGCGCTCGTTGCGATCATGCCCGCCTGCCGTTTTGCGCCCACGTTCGCATCCGCCTCGCGCTTCCCCTCCACCTCGCGCTTCCCCTCTGCCTCGCGCTCTCCCTCCGCCTCGCGCTCCCTACCGCCTTGCCTCCCCTCCGCTTCGCCTCACTCGCCTTCACCTCGCTCGGCTCCACCCACTCGGCTCACCTCGCTGGCAAAGCTGAGCCAGGCAACGAACGAACGAAAAGCAAGTAGGGTATATTTATGGAGCTCGTGGAGCGGCCCTCAAGAAGGAATAGGTTGATCGAGTTGGGGAAAGAATTGATAAGAAGAGGAGAGGGATTCTTTGAGAAAGAGTAGGCCAACCAGGCAAGAACAGTACCGATACAACCAGGAGACGCACCCGAGAACGGAAAAGCCTGCGCTCAGCATCTTGGGATACAGAATCGAGAGCAGAAGGCATTCCCGACTGAAGAAGCATACACCCAGGGAGCGGAAACTCCCGCACAGCATCCAGGGACATAGAATTGAGAGCGGAAATCATTCCTGACTAAAAGAGGTGCGCATTCGAGGAACGGAAACTCATGCACAGCCCCCAGGAATGCAGGATTGAGAGCAGAAAACTGAAGCGCCATGTGCTCGCCAAGCGGGTATCTCACGCACAGCACAGGAACGGAGCGGGAATGTGTTCGAGTCACAGAAGACGAACGGAAACAGTCCAGGAAGCATGTGGCGACGGTCCAAACCCCGATTTAGGGAACAGGATGCGGTAAGTTGGAGAAGGACGAGAGGAACGTGTAGGAGGCAGTGCTAGACAGTCGGTTTCCTATAAATACGAGACGATGCAGCGAATAAAGACATCTAATTTTTCCCATCTAAAACTACCAGCGCATCTTAAGTGATATGCAAGTACCGCTCACCAGGGTACACTGACTACGAAAACCAAGGTCCCCAGGGCTGCGCCTGGCAGAACATCGACCCGCTGCCCTCGGATTGTCCGTTGCTGTACAGACTGCTCGATATAAACAGTGTCTCGAGCACTACGCCAGTCACCGCTCGAGTTATACACCTCCCTGACTGCTCGTATCGAACGGAACAGGTATCGACCTTCATCGCAGCTCTCAAGAAGCCGACTCCGCTCGCTAGAGCTCACGAACAGAACAAAGAAGACGATTTGTAGAGGACATAGTAGGGAACGGACTTGGAAAGAAGGGAACGGCAGACAGTAGCGAGTCATTGAAAACAAGTTTAGGGCCTTCCAGCGCATGAAGCACCCTAGAAGAGGTCGGAGGACCAAGGGTAGCTGTATACAAAAGAACCAAGAACGGCCCCATAGTGTTTATAACAACGGAAACCGCATCGCATCTGGACAGTCGTCTGCTCATCAACAGGATTGTAGAACGGGACATGTTACAAAATTCAGGGAAGGCTAGACTTTTGAGCGGATTCTACTCCGTACTTTAGAATAGCGAACCGTACGACCAGATATTCTCTGGGGCGTATTAAAATACTCTAAATAAACCACACACATTTTACTGCTACCACAGTCTCGCGCAGCGATACCATTATCTCCCCCAAGGACGAACGCTCTCTACTTGCCCTTACCACCACCACCTATCAGCATCTAGCAGACGTGCAGTCAACATCACAGTGTTGCTTTGGTCAAGAAAACCGAGGTCTTACATAGAATCATTCCACTCTATCTCAGTCGCTGATTATAAATCATGGAGATGTTAAACACTTGAGCGCAACTTGAGCGTGGACCTTGAACTGGTCATATGATGGCCAAGATGACGACACAGTTTTGAATAATGTGCTCGGGATGAGCCCAGGTGCTAGACAAGCCAAGTTATGATTGGTGAATGAAATAAATTTACGGTGAGGAGGCATCAACCACCTTTCTGAGCCTGTATATCTAAAGAAGTCATCTGGATTAACAGATGAAGGCAGATGGGATTAATTTCTGAAGGCGAGTGAGGAGAATAAACTCTTCTGTTCATGCTAAAGATTCTAAATTAACCAAGTTGTCGTTCTAAACTTAAAGCTATCAAGTATCGGCAGAGGCTGCAGGAACAAATGAAGTTTGAATGAAGCCCAAAATATCATGAAATGACCACAGCTGAAGTGTCTATAACCCCAAACTCACAGAAGCTCTGGTTAATTCACTGGAGGAGACGCTCTGAGGCACCAGCAAAACCTGGG